AGATTGACAGGGAATTTAATTTAGGGGGAAAAAACGTGGAACTTCACATTTCACTGGAAATTTATTATGATTTGTTATTAATCTCTTTATGTTATGAAAATCCAAATCGACTTTTGGTGATAAAAATTTGGTACTCAAAATTAAGGGTCATAAGGGTCATGAATAAGGGTCACGAGGGTTAGAATAAGGGTCACGAGGATTAAATTAAGGGTCAGATTAGGGGTCATAATAAGGGCTCAAGGGTCAAATTAAGGGTTACGAGGGTCAGAATAAGGATAAGATTAAGGGTCAGATTAAGGGCCATAATAGGGGTAAAAGGCAAGGGCGATTATTGAAAACCTGACAAAATTAAGGGAGGATGCGGTAAAATGAACACTTCTGACCTTTTTTGATATGTTAATAAGAATTAAATTTTCGATGAAATAGAATTTTTGTTCAATGAAAAGAACAATATTTCCCCTTTGTGATGAGCCTAAACTGAGGGCAATTAATAAATCGGTTTCTGAGTTATAAATATTTTTTAAAAAGTCAAAAATGTCCTTTTTACCACACCCTTCCCTAAATGTTGCAAATAGTATTTTTTTAGTCGTTTTGAACCGGTAGTTTCTGAAATATTCCGAAAATAATTTCTATTGAATGAAAAAGTTCCCGACGCAATAAAAAAAATTCTAATTAAATAATATTCTTGAAATATAAAATCCCCTAATTAACATCCTCAAAGAGAAAAGTTCTTCTCATAAATTACGAAGAACAACCTACTGCAGATAATCGAAAGATCGTACCAGAAAAATTTTGAAAAAGATATTCCCGAATAAACAAGCATGTAGAAAGGATGCAGTGGAGTTGAGTGGTATTCACACACGGGGCGTCACGAGACCTCCCAGTGCCAGTGGTGATAGCTTTTTCGTTGGGTGGCGGGTCTGTGAGACGGATAATTCGCAAAGATTTAGTGGCGTTCCGTGAAGTGGTTAGTATGCAACCCATACGTAGTCACACCGGTGGGCTGTACTCGGTGGGTAGGTATCGTGGCGCTCCATCTCTATCCCCGTACCCCCATGCACCTCCGAGGACCCATATAGTCAAACGTTTCCGCATGGTACAGCCGTGAAATGAGCAGCGGACGATGATTTCACCCTGCGGTATTCTCTCCCCTCCGCGCATTTTCAAAATAACGAAGAAATTCATTTCAAATCTGGTGTTTTTTACAAGGGGAAATGAAAATTGGTAGATCGACTCGAAAATATCTGCGAAGGGAAGAGGAAGAGGCTTATCAAAAAATAATAATTACGGAAATCGTGAAATTGCATTTTGAAAAAATCTTGATTTTTGAAATTAGAAAATTTCAATTCTAAAAAGGGAGAAAGATGAGGGACTGAAGAATGACAAGTTATTCCTTTTTAAAATCGCGATTTAAATTATTCACTTGTAATACCACAAGAGCTTCAAAATTATCGGGTATTTTTCGATAGGTTCGTTGCAAACAAACGAAGGAGTCAAGTTTTTCAGGTTAAAAAATCACGAGTGCGAAACACGAGTGCGAAGCACGAGTGATTTTTCCTTAAAAACTTGACGACTTCGCTTGTATGCAGGGAACCTTGAGGAAAATGCCCGATTAATTTTGAAGCTCGTGTGGTATGCGGGGGATTATTTTTCCAATCCAAATGTCGGACAATATAATTGGACCATGAGACGAAACTCACAATTGAGAAACGAAAATTGTATAATTAACACAACGACACAATTGAATTCAATCTGTCAGTTTGACGAGGGGTTAATTCGACTGCATGATGTTTTATTTTTTATATAGCAACTACCAGAGAAAATTATCAAAAAATTATCAATTGCAAACGCTGTAGCTTGTACCATGTGATGTCGAATGGGCCAATTATATTGCCCGATATTTGGGTTGGAAAAATAATCAACGTTATTCTCTTCAACTGTCACTTATTTAATATTCAATAAGTGTGAACTTCACTGATATTTTCATATTAATTTAGAATGCATTTTTTTTTATTTTAATGAAAAAGCGTGAACAACATTCACATTGACTGAAGGCGATTTATGTATTGAGGTGTAAAAATCAAAACAAAAAACGTTATTGTGATTAAATTTAGGTTATTGATAAATGACTCTGTGTTGTGCTGTTATTTAAATCAAGTGATGATTTTCAATTAACTGAATAATCATCAATCTTTTCAACTCAATTACTGATTGATGAGATCATTCAAAATTAGAATAATTCATTAATGGAAAATGAATTGTTAAATGGCTATTAAATAAATAGTTCTTAATTTCATAAAAATCATTTTCAATATTTTCAATCTTCAATATTTTCCACTCAATTACTAATTAATAAGATCATTCAAAATTAGAATAATCGATTAATGAGTAATTAAATCCTGCAAAAATTGTTCAACATTATCAATCAATTTTATAAAACAATTTCATTTAAAGGTCACGATTACGCCGTTTGCCGAAAACAAAACTCAAAATTGAAAAACAATTCGAGCCGAAAAAACAATCATTCGTCTAATTTTGCCGGAATTTTTCAAGACCTACGTATATGCAAACCCTGGAGGTGTCGTATTGAAACCCGAAGAAAAGGCCATTGGTGACCCCTCCACCCCCCCCCTTGCCTTTGGGAAAACCCAAAGTTTTCTCCAACTCGTCCATTTTCCCTTTTTTTCACCTTCGGTCTAGTATCTTGCTCATGGAGAACTCTATCAGACAGACCCCAACGGCTCAAAGGGGCTCGTGTGTGTATCCCCCCCTCCCTGCTCTCATATATGTACACATCCCCCAAGTACATACGTATGTAAAAAAGAAGTGGAGTCGCGTGAGAGCGGTATTCCATGCATTTTAAAAGACCCTCTAAGCGAACACGAATTACACCAAGGATTCGCATAGTTGTATTGAACGTACCCGATGTGTGTGGGGGCTCACGACAGGATGAAATGACAATATTTGACGCTTTATTCCCACGAAAAGGGAACACATGAACCCGGAATTGATAACAATAAAAAAAATACTTTTTCTTTATTTTACATCAGAACTGGGGGAGATGAAAAAAACAGTGGGGACTGGTTTTATCTCCTCATTTTTTATTCCGGTGTCGAATCCTTCGCTTTCGATCACTGGAATAGTTATTTTCATCACCAGGTCCACAAAGTATTTTCTGACGAATGTGGCTTTATTGGCCGAGCCGAAGGCGAGGCCTATAATCACATTCGTCAGAAAATACTTTGTGGACCTTGTGAGGAATGCAATTTTTCGTCAGAAGGCCGAGGCCGCTCGCTTCGCTCGGTTAGATCGCGGTTTACCGGGCCTTGTGACGAAAAATATTTTTTCTTATTAACAAGAGGGAGAATACAATTTTACAATTTATTTATTTTTATTTATATTCGTCATTCAATCATTTTAATCTCATTTTATGATTTTTTGCGCTCATGAAAAACTCAATTGCGTATTAATAAATTGAGTAATTGTGTAATGCCCCGTTTTGCCCCAGCTATAGTTGAAGAAACGTTTTTCGTCTGTCACAAAAATTAAATTTTATTTTGCAATTACTTGTTCCACGTATTTTTCATCTTAATGTCGATTTCTTGAGATTCATTTTTTTTTAATTTTGCTTCCGAATGAAAGATTTATAATCGTTTAAATTCAAATTTTCAATTTTTTTTACTAGGCTAACTAAATCTGTTCTGATAATTAATTTGGAAATTTTCTTAAAAGAGATCAATTAAATCTAATGATTTTTTTCATGAATATAGACTTGAATAAGCTCTACCCATTGACACCAATTGAAATTCAATTTTTCATGCAGATTGGAAAAAATTGAGGTTTTTCCAAAAATCGATCAAAAAATTGGTAACAATACCCTCTTGACTCTATCAGAATATGATGGGGGCCGCACAATTTGTTGTTAAGTTACAGCACATTGTTTATGCGATTTGAAAGGGAAAATAGGTTTTTTCATGATTACTGAAAGAATCATCAGTAATAGCAATTAAATCAGGGCTTGAAAAGTATATTTCAATGGCTTCTTAATCAAGTTGAAAAATGGTGAGAACAGCATCATTGCTTATCAAGTTACACAATACGTCATGAGCTTTTTATATGAAAATCTCTATCTCTATTAAACTCAGGTAGCAGTCTATTATGTTGAATACTTATTCATATTGATTCATGGTCCCGACTAACTTCCGACAGAACCTGGGTTAAACTCTGGCTAAATCCTGAATAAACCCTGATTAAATCCCGGCTATACACTGATTAAACCTTGATTGAACCTTGATTAAACCCGGACTGAAAACGAATTCGAGTCTTGAGAGGGTCTGAATATAGAATTATTCGACAGAACGAAATAATACGCAAAATTTTGATGACATTTCAATTGATGATAGTACCATGACCTCAAAAAATAGAAGAAGAGAAGAGTGAAATAAGAATTTTAAAAAGAGAGAACCCATCCGGAAGCAAATTGCTAATTTATTAGCAATAATAACTAAACTCGCTTATTTAAAAAATGCAATTGTGCACTTGTTTTGCTTTATGAAAATTCGATTTCAACACGATTGATTTGAGCGAAAAGTTGCGGGTGGCTGGCTGAAATTCAAATGAAAATTCCAAAGAGAAAATAAAAAGAGAAAAAATCCCAAGTGACTTGAAATTCAAGATCAGTAGACAGATTGAAAAATCTGTGCATTCAGAGTAAAACCACTCGGGAATATACTCCCCAACAAACATATATTCTCCCTTTCCCAACTCCTGTATACGAAGAAGCATTTACGTGAAATGCGTTTGGAATAACGTTATGCCTCCTTGAAATTGAACTCCCGGACCAGAAATATCACCACTGAATGCAAAGCAATCCGATTCGATATTATCTCAGTGGAATAAATTTCCATCCAATGCGCACAATGGCAATTACACGATTATAATGTGGTTAATGCTGATTGAATAATCAATTTTAATTTTTGGTTTATTTTCTCTGGTTGCAGGAAAAATTCAAGCACACTGCAGAAATTCCATTTGCAGATATCGAGGCTGGAGATGTATCCCGATAGTTCAGAGGTCGTTGGCAAGCTGCTGGAGGAGATGGCGACGAAACCTATTGTACATATTGGTGAGGATGATTAAAGAATTAATTCTCAGCTGGAGGAAATTAATTTAATTCGATAAAACGAATATGTTTATGTATTGATTATTCAGTGAATATTTTAAAAACTATACTTTTCAAAATGTTCAACATTTGTTTTTTCAAATGACAGTTTCAAGGAATTTCGAGACATTCCGTTATTGAAAATTCACAATTTGATGGAAAAATTAATTAAAATTGTTAATTTCAGTTCAATCAGTCCATACAAATTGACAGTAATGAGGAAAATTCAGGTGAATATCTCAGAAATTTTTAATTTCATGATTTTCCTCCTTTAAATTAAATTCAATTTATTAAATAAACCTGATGAAAAAATCCACAGCACGACGCGATAGGAAACGAAAGCACCGAAACCATTAATTTTATTGACTCAAGGATTTCTCCAGGAAATTTCAGGCATTTTTTATCTTTAAAGTCTGACCTTGAATGTCTAAATCTACTAGTTCTCGAGATATTCACGCAATAGTCTGAATAAAATGTCCAAACTCTTCCGTTTTTCCTCTTTACTGCTACAAAAAAAATCCAAAAACCATGAATTGGCTATTCAAATTTCGTGAAATAACACACGCTCCATAATTAATATTTCATTAATTACCCCCTAATTAAACTACCAAAAATTCAAAAAAACATAAATCAATTATTTACGTTCAGAATTCTCACATAACCAATTTATTCCTCTTTTAACTCATCCAGTCCAATAATTAACAATCTAAATATTTAATTGATTACCCGACTAATTAATCAAATATTAAATAATCCAGATGAAAAAATTCACAGTACGCCGCTTCAGGGAATGAATCCAACGAAAGCATTCATTTTATTAACTCCAGGATTTCTTTTGAAAATTTCAGGCATTTTTTGTCTTTAAAGTCTGACCGTGAATGGAAAAATCTACTAGTTCTCGAGATATTCGCGCAATAGTCTGAATAAAAAGTCCAAACTCATCCTTTTTTGCTCTTCTGCTACAAAAAAAATCCAGAAACCATAAATTGATTATTTAACTCATCCAATCAAATAATTGACGATCTAAATGTTTAATTAATTACCCGACTAATTAATCAAATATTAAATAATCCAGACGGAAAAATTCACATTACGCCGCTTCAGGGAACGAATGCACCGAAACTATTAATTTTATTAACCCCAGGATTTCTCCAGCAAATTTCATTGCATTTTTTGTTTTTATTTGTCTTTAAAGTCTGTCCTTGAATGTCTAAATCTACTAGACCTCGAGATATTCACAAAATCGTCAGTATAAAATGTTTAACTTCATCCTTTTCTTGCTCTTCTGCCGTAAAAAAATTCATAAACCCTCAATTATTTAAATTATTTTCATCCCGCTTTTAATTCATCCAATCAAATAATTAGTCCAAACAGTCTAAATGTTCAATTAGGGGAGGTTGGGGTAAAATGGACACTTTTGACTTTTTTAAAAATATTAGTGACGCGTTGAAATGTTGGTGAAATTTAATCTTTTTTTTTTTAAATACAAAGAACAATTCTTTCCCTTTGTGATGAGCCTAAACTGAGTTCTATTGATACCTTCGATTCTGAGTTATGAATAATTTTAAATAGGTCTAAAGTGTCCATTTTACCCTACCCTTCCCTAATTAATAAATAAAAAATTCACTGGTTCTGATGAAAAAATCCACAGTACGACGCACCAGGAAACAAAAGCACCGAAAGCACTAATTTCATTGACCCAAGGATTTCTCCCGCAAATTCCCTCATTTCCGCAACTCATCTTGAGTGTCCTTAATTCGCTCCATTGATCGCCGACGGCCGTAGGAGTTAGACTTAATCCGTTAATCAGACGACAGATCGTCAGTCCGTTGTGTCGTATTATATGAGACAAGTGAGTGGAGGAATGGCGGAAACATCAAATTCCCATTTCTCCTTGCACTTCAGAGAATAGAACAATGTTGCTTGACGATACAAGGGCCGTGATATCCTTGTACGTGAAATTTTCTGTGATCGATAAAATACCCGTTTGATTAATTCAACGCCGGAATGGGGGAGACACGCGACAGAAGCTCATGGACAATTTACTGTTGTCTGTGTCATTTATGGCTCTCATTCGGCTTGAAGACAATTTAATTTTCACATGAAATGGTACGACGATTTAATTGACATTATGACCTGCTATCAAGAGCACTTTTGGGGTTCAGTGAAGTGCACTTGGAGAATTCAATTCTGTAATGGAGGACTAACCAATGTGACAAGTGGAAATGAACATTTTTTTAATTATGTTTTTATTGAAAATTAAGGGGTTTAGGGGATAATTACCGAGAATATTTTTTATTCAATTCAGAATTATTTTGATAATGTAGTCATTTAGATGCGGATGTTTAGGGATTTCCAAGTATTCTTTGCGGTTTGGTACGGACTACCCTACAGATTCAAACAGTTTCAATCATGGAATTAGTCAATTACATTGCGTGAGAAAAATATTTATGCACAAAATTATTATTTTTTTAAGCATTTGTTATTTATAAATAAAGAATTGAAATTGTTTACAATTTCGGAAATTTTATTTCTTCAGACATGACATCGATTTCTGATAAATTTCTGAATATGAATGAATTTGTTACGGTTCCGAACGAGAGATTTTTGTGGTGGAAAATTGATTGTTTATAAATTATTTATGGAAAATACTCGTAATTTTCAAAAATTGGAATTTTTTAATTTTGGAACCCCACAACATTGAGAATTCAATTGCAATCGTTACTGGGAATTGAACAAATTTCTAAGAGGGTAGAGTGAAAAAGTACTGAAAATCGAGTTCGGTAATTCTTCGGTAGTTTTTCTTCTTCTTCGGTAATTTTTCTTCAACTTTTTTTTCACACTGTTAAAAAAAATGAAATTTCGTGGATAGTTGACTACTTATTTTCAGGGAAGTGGCACTGAATGCGATTCAGAGGAAAAAAAATCATGAAATTTCAGGTTTCACTGAAATTTCAGTAAAATTCCAGAATTTTAAGCTACATAAAGGCGAGAATTTCTTAATTTATTTGAATTCCCAATCTAATACGACTATTCAGTGCCAGATTACACAGAATTTCCAGTGAAATCTGAAATTTCATAATTTTTTCCCCCTAAATCGCATTGAGGAATATATTTACCGGAACTTTCTGGTTTGCTGCTTATTTTCAGGGAAAAATAGAACTGAAATTTGTAGTTCTCTTTGATTTTTCCACGAAATTCTGAATTTTCAATGACGAAATTCGTTGAAATTTCAGCGGTAATTAAATTCGATAAAAATTTCCAAAAAGTGTACCGGAAACTGCAGACAAAAATTGTTAACAGTATAATTCAAAAAAGTTGACAATACATAATTCTCACATTTCCGAAAAATGTCCGCACTTTTTTTGTAGTTGATAAAATTCCCCCCACAAAAATATCTGTTCCCCTCTCCCCCTTCTCCTCATGATATCCCACCATTCAATAAAACGTGAAACCTCCAAAGCCCGCTTATCTTAAAAACCCATTTGGCAAAAGTCAACTCTTCTCTCTCAATTCAAACAGCCGTCTCCCTCCCCCAAGAATCCAACTTACAGATCCTCCAATAACTAAATTAACCCTCATATTCAACTAAAAACTTTTCTTCACCTCTAAAAATCACTTATCCCCTGATTTCAGCCCAAAAGGATGGCGGCACCCAGTTGAAGCTTGTGATAGACTATCCGACCGATCTGCAGGCCCTCTTCAAGCCGATGAGGTGAGTCACTTAATACTTTACCCAAGAATTAATCAATGATATCTCGTTAGTGGCATCGGGGTCACGACGTGGCCAAGAACTTTTAGAGTGTAGTCTTTTCATCGTTGGGGGGAGGCCCTTGCCTCCGGCTCCCTCAAAGACTTTAAATCTCAAACGCTTTGTCTGACTCAATTGAAAGAAAAAAAACGAAATGAGGAAGGAGTAAAGAGTGGAGTAAAAGGTAGGGAGCGACTGAATGAGACTTCATGTTTAAGGTATATCCCACGACAAGACCTAAATGACATAATTTATTGCATTCTCACAAGTTATTGATTTTTTACGATATTATAGGAAATCTCATGAGAGTGACATTAAATGGAATTTCGAGAAGAAAGGGTTATGAAATTTCAATTTTTCCCTGAATTTTCCTGATTTTTCGGAATTTTTGGAAAATAATAAAAAACATTGAATTCGATTTAAAGAGAAACAGTCAATGGAATTTCAAGTTTTTCGGAAAATTCAAGCAGTCCTAATTTACACGAATTTTCACGTGAAAATGAATATTCACTGCCAAGTGTCCTTGAACTTCCCAGGAATTCCTCTAAAATTCTCGGAATTCCCTGAAAATTCAGAGGAATTTTGAACTCTAGGAGAGATTTCTCTCAATTTTCCTCATTTTTCATCAACTTTCGTGGAATAATTAAACTAAAATTAACAGTTTTCGCGGGTTTTTTCACGAAATTATGAATTTTCACCGACAAAATTCTCTAAAATTTCCCATGTAAAATTCTTAACAATGTACCTTCCGAAAATCATCAATTCATTCTCGAATCCAAAATATTTATCGGAATTCCCGGAAAGTTCAGAGGAATCTTGAACTCTGGGAGAGATTTCTCTCAATTTTCCTCATTTTTTAAAAAATGTTCTGGAATAATTAAATTAAAATTAACAACTTCCGCGGATTTTTCCACCAAATTATGAATATTCAACGACAAATTCCTTAAAGTTTCCCATTTAAATTTCTTAGCAATGTATTACATTGCGAAAATCAATTCATTCAGTAGTTTTCTAGTCTCGAATCCAAAATATTTATCGGAATTCCCGGAAAGTTCACAGGAATCTTGAATTCTAGGAGAGATTTCTCTCAATTTTCCTCATTTTTCATCAACTTTCCTGGACTAACTAAACTAAAATTAACCCTTCCCCCTGATTTTTCCACCAAATTATAAATTTTAACCGACGAAATTCCTCAAAATTTCCCATATAAAATCCCCAACAACATCCCTTCCAAAAATCAATTCATTCAACAGTTATCTAGTCTCCAATCCAGAATATTTTAATGCAAAAAACCACTCGACTCGGTTTGAGAAATAGCTCTCTTACGAACCAATTGCCCCCATTCTCGCGCTATAAATTTCTTGACAGAACTGAAGACGTACTCCTCAAAAAAACTTTCGTTCTCTCAGTGTGAATCATCCAGAGAATTCTCCAACAATAGCGGATGTGACGTATCTCTATGAAGTTCTGAAACGTCTTGTTCAGTCCTTCAGTCTCATCTCACTCCGTCTTGGACAATAATAATTGAGTGGTGTAGGCGTTTCAGGGGCGGGGGGGCAAAGTGACTAGCGCTGGAGCAGCATCACTCTCAAGAGTTCACTCATGAAGCGATGCACGAGGCACTTGGGGACATCCACTTATGTAATTGTACTCGTAATCCCATCACGCCCGTGGCACGAACTAAGTCGTGGAAGGCAATATCATGTCTCTGGGGGACGTCAAATTCGACAGCTCTCGTGGGGAGGGAGGGAGGGGCAAAAGGGGTTGAAGGCGCCACGGATATCATTGGCTGATTGCCTCGGCTATTTTCCTCTGTTCTTTCAGTCTCCGGTAGGAGTTGAGATTGCTTTTATCCTTTGTCAATGAGTCACGGATCACCTTGGCTTAATGAGGAGCTGATACTTCAGGATAATTCGATCTGGAATTCGTTCTCGGTTGAGTACATTGTAAAATTGGAAATTTATGGGGGGCGGGTGGAGGGGAACTGGGGTATTTCGGGGATTAGATTTTTGCGTTATTTGAGTGCAATTGCACGGAGAAAAAAATTTAATAAAAATCACCAGAGAAAAACGTAAAAATCACGTTTCGAAACGTAATCCGCGAGTAAAGTGCAATTCAATACAAAGTGTGAGTCGGAACTAAAATTGTAAAAATCGCCATGTAAATTCTACGATTTATTCTGTAAAAATTAACCATCGGTCTGATGACTCACACTATGTGGGGACAACAAGTCGTTCCGTAATTTTTCCCCAACGATTGAGAAATTTTACGGAGGGGAACGTAGAAATAACTCACCAGCTTCATAAAAATTGTTGAACGTTCAAGAATTTTTGATTTTGGAGGCATAACAAGTCGGCAAATTTCTGTAAGATTTTACTTCTTCGGGAAAAATTACGTGACAATTTCGTACATTGTTCAGTGATGAACCTGAAAATTCACTGAACGTTTCAGATTTCTTCTCTTCCATTCCTATAAAAATTGCCGGAAAATGATTCTCCATTGCGGATTACGTGAATTGTTCCGTAATTTTTACTGAATATTTCTCTCCGTGTGGGGAATGTGGAAGCATTTTCGGAGTCCTCAGGGGTCCATTACACTGTTAGAAACTTACTCTTGAAATTTCGAGTGAAAAAGCTCGAAATTTTTAACAACGACAAAGTTACAGGAAATTTCTGTTGAATTCTTCATTGACGAATCAGTTGATTTCTTAAATATTCAAGTAATTCTCGATTTTCAGATCCGTACGGCACCGAAAAACCTTGAGAATTTTGAAAATTCAGGCAACAACTCTGAATTTTCAATCTGTTGAAAATTTAATTGTATATAATTAAATACAATCCTATCGTAAAAAGGAGAAAGGAAATCGATCTCGAAATATCTCGAAAATGTCAAAAAAGCGTAAGCGTAAGACTGAAACCGAATCGCCACTACGTGAGGAGACGAAAAGGCGCGTGCGGAGCACGCGCGGCCGATCTCGTTAAAATTAAACACAATTAAACACAAAACACAATTAAATACAATTTTTGTTGTTCAATTCTCTTGAATTTTCAAGATGAATGAGAAATTTAGTGAACGTTTTCATTTGAAATTGAATTCAAACTCACAACATTGAAAATTCAGATGACATGGTGACTGAAATGTCAAAAAATTTCTAACAGTGTAGAAAATTCCATTGATGTGAATTTCGAATAACGAAAATTCGAAACAATTTTCGGTATTAAGAATTATGATATTCATAATTCATAATACATGTCTATATTATAATATGTTTCGGTGCTATAAATTTTGAATATTGTACTCCTAGAAAAAAAGTTGAAATTTGATTGACAGTTCAGTAGTAATTTTTATGAGAATAGCCTGGGATTTGATTTAGTGAGAAAAAAAAATTTGGAAATTTGAAATCTAGTCAGATACATAAGATCTTAAGAATTATTCTTAACGATTCTTAATTGAGATTGGGACATTCAACTAATTAGAGTTTCGAGCTATTCCAGTACAATTCTGAAATTTGGGAATATCAATTAGTTATTATTAATTCAGACTTAAGTATTCCGTCAAATGACTTTATTTAATTATGCTGAGAGAATTTCGGAACAATTTATAGAAATTACTTGACCTCCAGATCGTTACAAACGTTAATCTATTTCTGTTCTCTATGTAACTTGGGTAGGAAGCTGTGATTACATTACTCCAAGATATTCTCAAAATTCAAAGGGGAGTAAATAATTCAATTACAGACGTAATTAAATCGACGGTTGTGGAAGCTAATGCAGGAAATTCTCTCGAATATGAAGAAGAAAATGGGGAAATTTAATTGAATCTTCAGCGTTTCACAATCCGTCCAAAATTCTCCGAAACCAATCAAGATTTCCGCGTTATTTTTGATAATTAAGGGGAGACTTCCCTGAATATGATGAGATATCTATAAAAGTAGGAAATGTGTTGAATTCAAGCCGTTTTCCCCGTAATTAATGCTAAAATTTAATTTTTTTGGTTTCTATTCTAAAAATGCACCTTAGATCCTAATTTTCAATAGATTAAGACTCATTTTATTTTGGAAATGAGAATTTTGTCTTTGAAAATCCATAATTTCATGGAAAAATCCATGGAAAGTGTAAATTTTAGTTCAATTATTGCGGGAAAATTAATGAAAAATCAGGAAAGACTCATTAAGACTCATTTTGTTTTGGAAATGAGAATTTTGTCTTTGAAAATCCATAATTTCATAGAAAAATCCATTGAAACTGTGAATTTCAGTTAAATTATTGCGGAAAAATTAATGAAAAATCCAGCAAATTCCTGGAATTCCAAAATTTTTAAGGAATTCCATGAAAATTCAAGGGAATTTGGCAGTGAATATCCAATTTTACTCGAAAACTCGTGTAATTTGCAGAATTTCCGACTTCTTGCCGGTAAAAAATTTAGTCTTCCCTTGAACTTTCACAGAAACTTGAAATTCCGTTGACTTTTTCCTCTTAAATTAAAATCAAACTCGTTTTCTGGAATACTTCGATGTGTCCGTGACCGAAAAAATTTCCAAGAAACTTATTTCATAGCTAATGCACTCCATAAGAAGTATCTCCCCACATTTTTCCTCAGAACCACAAATTATCGAGATAATTAACCTTCAACGAGATCCGAAAAACTGTCTTGTTGCGCTAAATTTTAACACTTCACTGAAATAACGCCAGACAATTCCCCTAATTAGTCAATTAGTCCAATAAATCCAAACCGTTGCATTGACTAACGAAATTCCCCCAAAACAACTGTCGAATTACCTTAAAATATCCCCCAGACCCCAGAGACAAGAGTGTAATTGAATTACCGGAAGAATTAAAGCAACCGCAGATGTGTAAGCTCATGCAAGTGGATCAACCCGAAAATAAATATCCAGAAATGGTCCTGATACATTGGCGCGAGTGGGAGGGGTGAAAAGTTGCGAATTGCTCTGGTTCTGGTGCAGT